CATAATGTAATTAATTGTTTATTTTCTTTTTCCATTCTAAAGCAAAGTGTATATATAGGGTCATGATATTCATAAAATACACATTCAACCATTTCCAACATGGTAATAAAGCTCTATAGGAAAAACTCTATCCCTCTTTTACAAACCATAATCGGCCTTCATTGCCAAAATAAGAAGAAGAAAAAATCCTAAGAGGGCCAGCCTTTATTGTCGGCCACCACAACCCTAGCAGTCAGTCCTCATGGCCAGCAAACCAGCCGTCCACAACTTCTGGTCTGCCTCTGTTCACTCATGCACCAGCCAAGCACTGCCCTTGTTCAACCGCAGCCAAGCACAGTCATTATCGGAAACGCTTCTGCTCTGCCCAGCTACGCAATCCCTCCAGCTGCGCTCTATTTTTTGCTCTCTTCAGTCGCACACTCTATTTTTTACTCTACTCAAATGCACACTGTTGCTGCCCTGTTTCGCATGCTTTGCTTTGAACGCACAGTCCCTGTTTTGCTTTGTTTTAGCCCTGTTTCACGTGCTTTTTTTAGCATGCTCTATTTTGCACACACAATATTGTTTTGCTCTATTTCAGTTATCATTCGTGTGCTTTGTCTCACACACATAGCCCCTTTTTTATCCTATTGTTGTCCTAATCAACTCCAGCGGCCACCTACTGTTCAGGTGCAAACAGAGACAGTCGCGTGCGCCATCTACATATAACAATTGCACAACCTACACAATTGTGTCTGCCTTCTGCGCGCAGCACAAAGCCATGCCTGCTCCTCCCTGGACAGATTGTCCAAACAAGGAAGTTTTCTTCCAACCTGGTAATCCCTAATTTAAAACTCTATTTAATTGGCTTCGTTGCCTAAAAACAATAAGTCATGTTCGAGGTTACATTGCTAGGTACCAGTCACTTGGACCATTCAGGTATGTTTTCTATATCTCATGGTTTAAACGTCTCAAATAAGCCATTTAAATTATCATGTATTGTAAACTTAGGAGTTACAGACTAATGACCAACTCCTCTCAATTTTTTAACACGCATATCCCATGCCCTAGCAATAGGAAAATCGTTATTGTTGATGGTTCACCAACCAGAATAGAAGGAATTAGAACCATAAAGTTTAGCTCTTACTTTAGATTTAATGATATATCACATGTCACTAAATTGTGTACCAATCTAATATTAGTAACTAAACTATCCCAATACCTCAATTATAAAGTGATTTTTTCTTCCTCTCTTTGTGAATTTCGAAACCAGAATTCGGAGAAGATGATTGAACATGCTAAAGCTCCAAACAAGTTATGCTTCCTCTAGACGCACCTTAGACACCGTGGACTGCCTTTTTCAACAGCACTCTCGATAAGACATGGTTGTATCGTGGAAGGTTAGGTCATCCCTCATTCTCTACCCTTAAGGTTATCTTTTCCTCTTTGTTTTCAAATTCCAATTATAGAAATTTACACTCTGACGTATTTAAATTGGCAAAACACAAACATGCAAATTTCCGTCTCCCATAACAAAAAAGCAATGTTCCTTTAAATTGGTCCACAGTGATATTTGGCAACTCTCATATATTCCCAATATTTTCGGGGCCTGATGGTTTAATTCTTTTATTGATAATTACACTAGAGTAACCGTACTTTTCTGGTTAAAACCCAAATTCAAGGTTAGTCATATTATTCCCTAATTTCACAACATGCTCAAAACCCAATTTTGAGTGACAATCAAATGTTCTCAAACAGATCATGTTTGTGATCGCTTTACTTAAACAGTATCCACCTTCTTGGATCATTCATGAGTCTTCCTGTACCTGCACCCTACAACAAAACAGAATGACAGAACGAAAAAACAGCCATCTGCTTACCACCACCCGTACTTTCTTGTTTTAGAATTATATGGCCAAAAGCTATTGGGAGAAAGCCCTTTTGACCGCAACCTATCTTATCAACAAATTACCATCTCGGGTACTAAACTTTCATAGTCCTACAAAAGTTCTAACTACATTTTTTCCTAAAGCCCAAATCACCTATAACCTTATCCCTTGCGTCTTTGATTATGTTGCTTGTGTTCATATACATCAACCCCAACAAGGGAAACTTAACCCTAGGCCCACTAAATGTTTGTTTGTGAGATACTTACCTACATAGAAAGGATATAAATGTTATCATCCTCCCACTCAAAAATTCTATATATCCGCTGGTCTTATGTTTGCAGAGACTGAGTTCTTTGATAAACCTTATCTTTAGTGGGGAGAGTATATTGGAAGATGAGGAGGATTATTCCTATTTGATATTCTCCAACCCTTAAATACTACACCCTCTCAAAAATTAACTAACACTTTAAAAAATCAAAGATCACAAGATACACCTGAATACATACCACCACAATATACACCTAAATACATACTACCAGAAAACCAAAACTAGAAAAATGAACTAGAATCCTTAACCATGAAAGACCCACGATTTTCACATGTGTATTCAAGAAGGGAAAACTCGAACTCTGATTTAAAGCAAGTTCATGAATCCAAGTCACGTGCTAGAAATGAGGTAAGCTTTGAAAATTCTTTATTCTCTGATACAAATATACCTATTGCACTCAGAAAAAAAACAAGAGAATTTGTCCAATCTATCCAACCTCAAACTTTGTATCATTTGAAAAATGTTCTCCATCTCACAAAATATTTCTAATGAGTATAAATATAGTATTTATTCTTAATACACAATCTAAGACTTTAACCAGTGAGGCACAGAAAAATGTCATGTATGTTTAAATACAAACACTAGAGAAGAGATAGACATAGGAAGTGGTGAACCTACACCAAAAAAAAGAAACTTGTTGCATGCAAGTGGGAGTTTACAATAAAATACAAGACATATAGGACAACTGAGAGGTAGAAAGCAAGACTAGTGGCAAAAGATTATATTCAAACCTATGAAATAAACTATCAAGAAATATTCGCACCATTAGCTAAGATGAACATAGTGCCAATCTTACTATCCTTACTTGTTTACTTTGACTAGTAACTACAACAATTTGAAGTGAAGCATACTTCCTTGCACAGAGATCTACAAGAAGAAATTTATATGGAAATCCTATCAAAATTTATCAAAGGACACAAACAAATAAAGTATGTAAATTGAAGAAGGTACTCTATGGACTCAAACAATCACCCAGAATATGATTTAGTATATTTGTGAAGGTAATAATAGGCTTGGGATATAAGCAAGCCAAGGGAGACCATACCCTATTTATCAAAAACTTAGATTCAATGGGAGTTACAATTTTCTTCGTATAAGTTGATGATATCATTATGACAGGAGGTGATGAAAAAGAAAAACCGATACACAACAATTTCTGGCAAAAAGGATTTGAGATCAAGTAGTTGGTAAAGTTGAAGTATTTCCTATAAATTGAAGTCACCCACTCAAAATCAAGAATTTTCATCTCACAATAGAAATACATCCGCGATTTGTTAAGAGATACCAGCAAGCTACCATGTAAACTAGCTAGTACTCCTATCAATCTCAATCCTAAAACTAGGACTAGCAAAAGAAAACACATTTGTGGATAAGAATATGTACCAGAGATTAGTTGAAAGATTAATACACTTACCACATACAAACCGAACATTGCCTATGCACTGACTATAATAAGTCAATTCATGTATAACACTAAAGAGGTGCACCTACAGGTAGTCGACAGATTACTAAATTACCTAAAAAGGGCATTTGAAAAAAGTATGTCCAGAAAGAGTGATTGATTGCTCTAGAAACTTAAGTTGAAGCAAACTAACAGAGTCAATAGTGGACAAAAGATCTACCATAAGTTATCGTACCTTCCTTAGGGTAACTTAGTCACTTAGAGGAGTAAAAAACAAAATATAGTTGCAAGGTTGAGTGCGGAATCAAAATTCCAAACAATAATTCAAAGTATATGTGAACTTCTATTGCTAAAAAGAATTTTAAAAGATCCAAGAATCAAGTGGGATCACCTCATACACCTATATTTTGACAAAGAATCAATCATAAACATTGCTAATAACTCAGTACAACATAACATGACCAAACATATTGAGATTAACAGATACTTCATCAAGAAGAAGCTAGATAGTGGCAATATATGTACTCCATACATGTTTAACAGCTCATAGCCTGCAGATATGTTGACCAAAGACTTGAATAATCCAACATTTCAGACAATCATGACAAGTTGGAAACAAACGATATCTATTCCCCAACTTGAAGGGGAATGGTAAAGAGTATATTATATAAATTATTTCAAAAAATGTAATTAGATTAAAGTGCATTAGGGTAAAATAGGACGAGTAAAATACACATTATAGAATTAATTGCCTGTTTTCTTTTTCCTTCCATAAAACCTATAAATAGAGGATCATGTTATTTAATAAAATACATAATCAATCATTCTTAACATGTAAAACATTAAATACTAAGCTAAAAAAATTAATACTAACGTTAAAAAATTTTCCACCAAGCCTAAGGAGATGTTTTGAATTATCACCATTCAGACACGTTAAAAGAAAAGCAAAAACTCACAAGACACTGCCTGGTAACTTGAGTCTTAAGACATAAACTTAAGAACCCCATGGAAAGTTCATAATTATCATAACCTAGTTTTCTAGATTGAGAAATTTACACAAAGCATTGAGGAAGTGCCTATCAAGCATGCAGGACTGACTTAGAAGCCAACATCATCTTAGCAATTGCAAAAAAAAATAATAATACAATAGTCTTTGGAAATTAGGATCTCCAGAAGGGAAGTTGCTGATGAATAATCTAAGTGCAGTAATTAAAGCAACAGAACCTGAAGGATTAACTATCAAAAGCAAAAACGTAAACGATCGTAGCTTACTCTGTCATCATCCTTTCCATGGGATGAAATGGAGCTCTTGCTTTTGCTGTGGACAAGATGATCATATCTGTATCTCCAACATATATTGAAGCACGCATAAATTCTGCAGTGAGAATACTACAAAAATAATTTCAATAAGTCACGAGACTATGAGTGATTTATGTTACAGAACCATATAAGCAGCAACGTATTGATATTATCACCCAGCTTAAATAAAGATTGCAAAGGATTTAAACTA